ACTTGTGAAGCAACCTTGTTTCTAATTTAAATTTAAAAATAAAATAAAATAAAAAAGAGTTGATGTTAGTTGAGATCATATATAGAAATAAGAAACTGAAAGCAATCAGCATATTGTAGGTGCTCAGGTATTATTCTCGTATTTTTTTTTTGCAATGAAGGTGTACATTTCTGTGCCATAAAAATAGCATATTGAATATCCTCTCATGGGTATGTGACTTTATAAGGGTTAACTCACTCAATTATCAGAGCAAAGCTGTATGCTTTGTTTGATGTGAGTGGTTGTCATTGTTTTAAGAAATGCACATGTCAGCCGGGCGTTGGTGGCACACGCCTTTAAGCCCAGCACTCGGGAGGCAGAGGCAGGCGGATCTCGGTGAGTTCGAGGCCAGCCTGGTCTACAGAGCGAGTTCCAGGACAGCCTCCAAAGCCACAGAGAAACCCTGTCTCGAAAAACTGGAAAAAAAAAAAAAAAGAAATGCACATGTCCAGACCCAGAAGGTTTGAAAACTTCCTCAAGGTGATCTGACTGGGAGAATGAAAGGCTTTACCAGCTTCCAGTGTGGTACCTATGCAAAACCAGGGTGTCAATTCTTTGTGAGTTACCAAGAAGTCCTGTAATGACCAAGCAGAAATGAAGAGATCAAGTGCCAATCTGAAATGTTCAGGAGGAGTCTGTGGATGACACTAAGGGTCACTGGCCACTTACTTGTCTGACAATCCTATGAGTAACCAAAACATCTGGTTTTCCCTAAATGTGTTCACATTTCTTCCAAAATCTGATTATTTTGCATGGGTGGAGTTGGGGTGTTGTCCATCCTTGCTGGGAGGCTATTGAAAGACATAGGGTTAGCATTCTGTTGGAATGGGTGCAGGACTTAAAGACAGATGGCAGTGGTCCTCAGCTCCAAGCTTCAGCAGCTAGGTAACTCTGGGTGTGCCCTGATGATTAACTCTTGGTCTTCTGTCTTCAAGCATGGAAGATCATAATCATACCAGCCTCTGCTGGTTGCAGAGCGGTCATTAGATTCCATAAGTCAACATTTATGTACACTTTGCAGAGTTAGAATCCGGTATTTGGGAGAGCTCCCTGCCTAATCGAGGAAGACTACCCATCCCCTGGCTGACATCACCCAGCTCTAGGACGCCTCCTAGGAGCCCTTGCGCCCTCTGAGATTGAGTCCTTTCCGCTCTTACCTACTTCATATTTAGATTCTAAACCACCGCATGTTTCATGGAGCATAAGCAATCCTAGCAAGCTTTGCCTGAATTCTCTGATGACACCCACAGCTGTCACCCAAGCCACACACCATCACACCTGATACTGATTCACTGCTTATTGACTGACTGAAACAGGGATGGGGTACTTGCTTTCCCTGCAGTATTCTATACACCCTAGTGGAATTCATTCCTTACCCAGGCAATTTCAAATGGGAAACTTCCCAGAACATTGTTTCTTTTCAGGTAACCATCATTTCCCAGGTGGCTGAGGTTGGGGATTTCAGAGCAAGGCCACAGAATGTGAGCTCTGGGTTATTTTTCACCACTTTGCCAGTCTTACTGTTTGTCCTCATCTTCCCTTGAAAAGCTTTGGCTAGAAACACATGCCAAAAGGCCAAAGGTCCTGCCGCCTGGCCATTTGCAACATTCAAACCAGTAAACCAGGGGCTTCCCTGGGGCCTGGTGACATCCTCTGGGAAGCAAGCCAGAGCACTTCAATAGTGCTCCCTCCTCAGCTGCTGCGGTAGTGTGAGACCTGGGCCAAATCCCAGGAAACAAGAGGCTGGCTCACTAACTGAGTCTCAGGGGCTTTAGGGCTACAGGACCTTCAAGGTCAGTGTGCTCTGATTGTCCATAAAGGACTCAAAGGCATGAGGATGCTCAGTGGCTGGGATACGGTCACATAGCAGTCGTGGAGCACAGACCCGCCAGGCCCTGGCCCTGCTTCCCAGTTTTCAGATTATTCGTTCTAATCATCAGTTCCCAGTGCTTGCACTAGAAGATTACAGGGACTATCTTCCACCTCTTACCTTTTGGATCCTGCTCTTTGACTTTTCAAGGAACAAGAAAAGTTAAACAGTATGTATTTGATTCTAATTTCAGATTAAGACAGTAGTTTTCAACTTGTGGGGTAAGACCCCTTGGGGTGGAACAACCCTGTCACGGGGCTTACATATCAGATATTCTACATATCAGATATTTACATTATGATTTGTAACAGTAGCAAAATTACACTTATGTAGTAACAAAAATAATTTATTGGGTCACCACAATAGGAGGAACTGTATTAAAGGGTCATAGCATTAGGAAGGTTTAGAACCACTGTGTTAAGAGGAACTGGAAAAAACAACACTCATAAATACTACTATTGTCTCCATACAGATGATGACACTGATACATGAAGCTTGAATACCTTGTGTCAGGTCTCACAACCTACACAGTAGTGCTGGGATTCTAAGTCAGGTAACTGTTGTTTATCAAATCATGTGCCCAACATTACACACCTAATACAGGACCTATCAGCGTTAGGATACTTGCTGTATCCAGAGCTTGTCTGACTGGAAGAGTTCCAACGTCTTACTTCTGAGGTTAAGTATCACAAGCGCTAACCAGGGTCAAATGGGAGGATTTTGTAAAGAGCATTCCCCAAAGGCAGAGTCTCCTAGGCATTGTAGAGATCCAGTCAAATGTCCAAATGGTCACAGAGAAAGATCCTAACAACAATGGGAAAGGATGGGAATGTTCCTTTCCCTAGTTGCCTGGTTTTCTGAGCCTCGTTTTCATTTATTTTTTAATCAGTAAAACTAAGAATTCAAATTAGTTCTCCAAGATCCTTGCCTCATTACCAAGTAATAAGTATGGAGCACTGCGCTTAGCCTTTTATGTAGAATCATCAATGCCTGACTTCCCTCTGTTGGCATGGAAAGGGCAGCACAGTTCTTGCTACAGGGTCTTAATGGAGAAAAAGCTCACAAGTTGGTCCTTTAAAAAAAACCCTCAAAATAATTATATATATTTATGAGGTGTTGCCGCGCCCTCTGTGCAGCCTGTATCCGAGAATGTGTTGAAAGTATCGGGATTGATGACACAGAGACCAGAAGGCTCCTCAAGAAGGCTCTCCACCGGGCGTTGGTGGCGCACACCTTTAAGCCCAGCACTCGGGAGGCAGAGGCAGGCGGATCTCTGTGAGTTCGAGACCAGCCTGGACTACCGAGCGAGTTCCAGGACAGCCTCCAAAACCACAGAGAAACCCTGTCTCGAAAAACCGAAAAAAAAAAAAAAAAAAAAAGAAGGCTCTCCTTTATTCCTACCCTGGCTGGTTATTATATACCCTGACACCAGAGGCAAGCAATGGGAGGGCTAGAAAGTGGTGGTCAGTCTTTGGAAAAGGTTGAGGTCAGGGTGTTTCCATGGGCCAGCCCTTTTCAGGAATTTATTGCCCCAGGCATTATATTGTTTTTAGTAAACATGTTTTTAGTAAACATTGTCTTACAGCTGCCTACTCCCAGGCTGATGGTGAAGTGGGTCTCTGGCCAAGGTCTGTTGTCCCCACAAGGTGTAATGTGATACTTGTAATACATGAGTATACAATGTTTATTGATTGGATTAAGATAATTAGCATATCTGTCAACTCAAACATTCATCACTTCTTTTTTTTTTTTTTTTTTTTTTTTTGGTTTTTCGAGACAGGGTTTCTCTGTATTGTTTCGGAGGCTATCGGTCCAGCCCGGCCTCGAACTCACAGAGATCCGCCTGCCTCTGCCTCCCGAGTGCTGGGATTAAAGGCGTGCGCCACCACCGCCCGGCCATTCATCACTTCTTAATGTTGGAAATATTCAAAATCCTTTCTTTTAGCTAATTTACAATAAATTATTGTAAATTATCTTTTCCCTACTGTGATTATAGAACATCAGAATGTTTTCCTCTTAAATAATACTATCCATTAGCTAAGTCTTCCCTCTGCCCTTTTCCCTCTCCTCCCCCGCCTCTGGTAGCCACTATTCTACTCTCATCTCCAACGAGATCAACTTTTTATGTTCCTCATATTAAAGCATGCAGTATTTGTCTTTCTATGCCTGCTGTGTTTCCCTTAACATAATGTCTTCCAGGCTTACTCATATCAACCAGTCTTTGACTATGTATTCAGATGACCCTTCTAGCCATCACAGAGTCTACAAGAAGGCCCGGAGTCTCATTCCTTCTCCAAGTCTCCGCTCATTTCAGATCATTCCAACTTACTAATTTCTCAGCCCCCAAAGACTTTATGACTTTGGGGCCAGAGACACATTCTCCCCAGTACCCCACATCTTTTTGTAGCAAGGTGCTATGCGCTTGGATGGAGAGGAGCCCCCTGATTCTACCCTAGCAATGTTCCTGCAGGATGAGATCACTTGAAGGACTAATAGCCTAATGGGCACCCCTCTTTCCTGTCCTGCTCAAGAGGTATCTGCCACAGATGTGATTCTAGTACATGGTGTCCCACCAGGGAGGGCAGAAGGGGAGGAGACCCAACAACATTTTGAGACCCTGGGCATTCCTTCCACTTCATCTTTTTAACAGCCCTGCCAGCTTTCAGAAGAGAAAAATAAGGTCAAAAATGGTTGGCTCAAGGTTCCATGACATCTGGTTGGCAAGACTAAGAGAAGAAGCCAATCTGACTCCAAGTCTGCCTCTTAACCATTAAGAAATATGATCTGGCACTCACCTATTCACATCCATCCACTTAGCCCTCCCCTAACCTCCAAATGGAAGTTTCCTCCCAGCCTAAAGAGGGCCTTGAATGCTTCTGTAAACTGCATTGAGGCAATTTGCCCTATCCATCAGTGCTTTGTAGGGTCTGCCCTCCCTTGTGTCTAAAACCCAACCTCAGGTGTGCCCTATGCCCTACTACTTGATTGTTTGCTGGAAGAGTGCTCTATAGCTTTCTTGCCCCAACCGAGCCCCTGTAGCCCCTATAGTCCCAGCATTTCGAGGCGGGAGGATCATGAGTTCCAGACCAGCTTGGAGTGCATAATGAGAACTTGTCTTAAACACCAAACAAGTGCCACAGCAAACTGCTTCAAGCAAAATAAACCAAACAAACCAAGTCCTGTTGTCTGTCTCATCCTCCTATAAACGGGGTGACTTTTGCAAGCCCAGAGGCGGGAATGCTCCAGTAGCCTTAGCAAGGTGGTGTGGGAGACCTCGCTGTTCCTGTAGTGAACCCCAATGTGTCCACCCCGGTAATGTTGGCTCTTGGCAGGACCAAGTGACCCAGTTTCTCCCCCGGGGAAGCTAGGCAGTGGGCTGCCAGAGTTTGGCATCTACGTGTCTCTTCTGCCCTCTGCTGGTTGCTAGGCAGGAGACTCTTCAAGGCTGGTAATCCCACGTGGGTCCACTGCGGGGAATTCACTCTCAGACCTGTAAATGTTTGCTGAGTTAACTGAATAAGTGGATTGTGTGCTGTTCTAGCGCTGGTGCCTGGAGCAGACAGAGACGGGACTGTAGCTATACAAGCTGGTTACATTCAGCCAAACCAGGTCTCAGTTCTCAGTCCACCTCATGCTTTGCTTTCCTCATTTGTACCGCCCCTCGAGCTCCTCCTCTTCCCTCCCTCGAGGCCTGGTGCCTGGTAAGGGAGAATGAGCCTTTCCCCAGCAAGGTCAGTAAGTTGCATTACCAGTTCTTCTGACCAGTCCCTAAAAATGATCTGAAGTTCCTCCTCGATTGCCTCTTTTCCTATCAGAGCAGCTGCTTCAATTTTCTGGCACTGTCTTCAAAGAATAGGCTCTCTTTTCATTTGATACTGAATCTGTCCCAGATGCATCTGCTGGAAGTCCTGGTTCTTGCCCACGTAGGTCATCACTCAGAAGTGTGACTGTCTGCCTTCCAGACGGCCTTTCAGAAGCTTGACTTCGGCTGTCCTATCTCTGAAACTTCCGTTTCCCAAACACATGTGCATCGCCCACTTTGGGACCTCTACTTTTGAGAGATTTGTCTTGATAAAGAGATCTTGAAACCAAAAGGTCTAGAAGACTCACAAAGGACCTTCTAATGTTAAAGATTCTGTAAGTCTGAAGGCCTTCCAAGGCAGCCTTGGGAGCTGTCTTGGTAACAGAACTGGAGAGGCTTTTAATTTCTGTGTATACTGTGTTTTCAATTTAGAATGCACACAACTCTTTCATAGGCTCTATCTCAAGGAGTAAAAGGTTTTTGTACTAATTTTAAGGACGAGGAAAGTGAGGCCACAGAGAAGAAAATAGTTCTTTTGTGATTGCGCAGGAGGGGAAATGCAGTGGCATTCACACTGAACCTTCCTCTCCCCAAACTCTGGATGTTCACTCCCAAAGCACCGCTGATCCTGCATCTTGAGAATGTGAAAGAACACATACAAAGCCAAAACAAAGCAGAGAAAAAGAATCAAGCATGTATGTGCTGTACTTTAACTTACTGTTCAAAACAGCTACACAAGGCATGGACCATTCTTCTTGTTCCCATTTAATTTTCCACAGATAGTAAATCAAAACTCCATTTAAAGGATGGGGAGATGGGCTGGCCAGTAAAGTGCTTGTGGTGCAAACATGAGAGCCTGAGTTCAGAGCTTCAAAGCCCAGGTAAAAGTCAGTCATTCGTAACTAGTAAGGGTAGTGTGGGGTGCGTGTTAGGGAGTAGATACTGGATGGATCTCTGGAGATCATTAGCCAGCCAGCCTAGGGGAATCAAGGAGCTCCAGTTTCTGTTTCCCATCTATAGCTATGAGAAGTCACTCTGACCATAAGAAACTTACGGAGAGAAGGGTTTGTTTGGCTTACACCTAAATGAATTCCCACAACACTACCTAGCCAATAGTCCACCACTGAGGAAAACAAGGCAGGAACAGGAAAAGCAGGACTGCATACTATAATTTGTAGCATTACATCTGACCAGAGAACTCCCTCACAGGCAAGGAAGTATAGCAGGAACCATTGGAGGATGAAGTTTACTAGTTTGCTAGTTCATAGGTTCATGTGTAGATTTCTTACACAGCCTAAGACTACCTTCTCAGGAAATGGTACCGTCCACAGTGGACTGGGCCCTCCTACATCAATTCATAGTCAAGACAATCTTAGGCATGCCCACAAGCTGAGCTGATCTAGAGAATTCCTCAGTCAAGGTCTTCCTTCTCAGGTAACCCTGGATTGTATTTAGTTAATAATCAAAACTAACTAGGGCAAAATAAGCTGGACAACTAATATTGATCTCTGGCTTCCACATGTACACACAAGTATCCATACCCACATAGATATGTATATTACATTAACACACATGCACAGGAATGCACACACAGAGAAACTCATTCGAGCATAAAACCCTATGCCTCTCAATTGCAGAGCTGACTCAAGTCAGCTTGCCTGAGTGTGTGCACACATCTTTGTGGATGTCTCCATTAGCCTTTCATTTGGTACTGTGAGGGAGCTAAAGGAGAGTTTCCTTGGGGAATAGGAGTGGGAGAATGTCCTTCAAAAACAGTCTGGAATAATCATCAAGGGGTAGTCCAGAGGCTGGTTCAAATCCTGGCCCTGCTGAGTGAGCCTGGACACACTCTTTAATCTCTCTTCTCAGTTTCATCTGTAAAAGGAAGGTACCAACTTCATTTCATTCTTTTGTGGCGTTGTTGATTGAGACAGAGATTTTGGGGTTTTTGTTATTTTTGTTTTGTTTTTTATCCCAATCTGGACATGAACTCCTGACCCACCTGGCCTCACACTCTAAGAATCACTGGCATGCACCACAGTGTCTGGATTTTTACTGTGACTTGAGTTAACATTGCTATACCCAGGGAGGTAAATATTATTCTATCTTTGGCCTTTTGAGATAACAGTGACAAACTCTGGAGAGTTAGGTAAGGTGGTGGCCATCCTATGGAGGCATACGGGAGAAACCTAATATTCAGATGAAGATGGGGATAAGAGTTGGGGTTGGAGAGAGAGGAACTAAGTATTGCAGGGTCTCAATGACTTGCAGTGGAACCTGGCCTTTGTGTAAAGTCAGTTTCTTGGAATTAGAAGGATTTTTTTCTGGAGCATATAATGCAACCAGGCAGGCATTTCACCAGAGGCATCAAAAGACCAGGAATTCTCTGCTTCCCAAGAGGTCACATTGCACTGAATGAATAACATTTGGGGGTGGGAAGTGGGAAGGCTCTCTGTGGCCTCTTGAGGAAAGTGTACAGCAGAGATATTAAGACCTAGACGCCATCATACTTGGCTTTCATTTGGTTTCCTATCCTGTTCTCAGGGACAACATAAATCTGTAGCAGATCTGACTGATTCCAAGCTGATAGCACTCTGATAAGAATAGCCAAGACATATGGGGAGTTCCTGCACACCAGATCTAGTTCTGAAGTTTCGGGTTGACTCATTTGATTTTTTACCATTGCTTTGGCCATGGGAAAATGAACACATCAAGGTTTCAACACTTCACCACCAGGCAGCAAGTGTTGAACCAATCCAACTCCACGCCTGGTATTCTTATCCGTGATGGAATCTTGGACATTGGTCTTAGCTCAAAAATTATTAAATTTGTGCATTTAAAATCTTTATCTGAAAATTTAACTGGATATATAGTTTCAGAAAAGCAGATTTATTTTATACCTTGTGACAATATTTTACCATCATGACCAAAGGTTGCCATTTATGGTATTCTTTTTACTTCTCCTGCAGCTACTGGGGGCTTGTTCTATGCTACATATTGTGACACAGACATATTGTGTGAGGTCCTGGAATGCTACACAGGGAGACACAGGCTCAGATGTTGTCCCCAGGGAACTCTACAACCTGGTGAGGCTGAGAGATACTGCACATGTGAAGCAAGTGCTGTGAAGGAAACCTTCAAAATGCTCTAGGAGTGCATGGTGGGGATGCACTGGAAGAGTACATCTAGAATAGTGGGGAGTAAGGAATGCACTGGAAGAGTACCTCTCCCTTTCCTGAGAGAACACCAAAGCACCTCTGAGTTAGTACAAACAATGAACATAGACTCATTTCACTCAGAGGATTAGGACTTACTTCTGAATCCTGGATGAAGCTCAGAGGTAGCAGGCACAGAAAAGCCCCACCAAGGGGCTGGGACTCAGTGGTGGCATGTGACTAGCATGCGCAAGGCTCTCTGTTCAATCTTCAATACTAGAGTTAAAAAAAAGAAACAGAAAAATTTTGCCAAGAAACTTCTGAGTACCTGCTAAAGAGGGTAAAAATGCTCTCCCAGATAACTGACACAAAGGATATCCTCATTGAGGACCTTATCCTTCCTGGCTTTCCTTTATAGCAGTAAGATGCCCTACATGCTATGGTGTGCTTTAGCTTATAACAAATAGCCATTAGGAAGCCTGCTTTCTGGACCCAGACTGATACTTGGGGGTAATTTACTTAATCCCTGTGTCTCAGTGTCTACTCTGTAAAATGGTTTAACAACAAAAGCTGCTTCCAGGGCTAAAGTAAGATGTAATTGAGAGAACATACAAATTTAAGATTATGCTGGACACACCGTTAAGTATTCAGTTGGTGTTGAACAGCACAGCTTACAGCTTTTACTATAAGTAATGCTATTGAGATGAATGTGGATTTAACTCCAGAAGTAACATGGGGGAAGGGGTGGCTGTGTATCTCAGTAGTGGAATACTTGACTGGTATATGTGAGGCCCTAGGTTCAAAATCTTGTATTGAAATATACATATGTGTGCATTCAGTTTTTTAAGCAAACCATTGTTTACATGATCCCCCAACTTTCTTTCCTTGCTTGCTTCCTTTCCTATATATTTACATGTGCATCCATTCCCTGCTTATTTACATTATCTAATTCTATAAGCCTTCAGGGAGAAAGGTCACAGATATGAAATTTCTTGGTGTTTCTTACATGGAAAGAGAAATGGAATCAATATGGAAATTGAATTCTGTTCAGCATTCCCAATGGTTATTTATAAAATTTGCCCAGAGGGAGAAACAGAACTCTAAATATAAAAACCACGTAAAATTTTCCATTTAGGGAGCTCCAGAGTGCTTTATTTCTAATGTGTTATTATGATGATGGAGGCTATTATTAAATTTCAGACACTGTGGAGTGGCAAGAGATATTCCTTGGGACCCAAAGGAGGACAGCTCCCCATGAATGTCAATCTGTGGCAGTTCAAGCAGTTCAAGAATCCCTTGCCTCTCTCCCAAACAATAATGTATCTATAAAGAAAAAGATAATCCTTTGGCAGGTACAGCCTGGAGTGCCCTATGTGTAAGACCTGTATTCAGAGGACAGGGAAAGAGGTTCTGCTCCTACAGGCCCAATAGAACACACTATCTTTTATCATTCCCTCTCTCCATAATGGATGGAATGTTTCCCTTCTGGGCAAAAATAATACTCACCATAATTATACTTGGCATTTGGGCAACACATTATAGCCACTAATTAGTTAAACATGCACAGCAACCCGTTAGACCACAAAGGATCCTGGCTAGGTGCTGGAAAAGGAAAGATGGAGTCAGATCTCAGGAACAGTTCAAATATGATGGACTTCCAAGCCCCACCCTTATCTTGGTCTTGCACATATCCTAAACCCTCATTATAAATATATGTGTCCATCCTCCTGTGTGGGGACACCAGACCTTGAGCAGAGACCCACTTCCCCTTCGGCCTGGGAGTAGGCAGCTGTAAGACAATGTTTACTAAAAACATGCTTACTAAAAACAATACAATGCCCGGGGCAATAAGTTCCTGGAAAATGCCTGCCCACGGAAACTGCCCTAACCTCGACCTTGTCCAAAGACTAACCACCTCTTCTGACACGCCCAGATCAGTTTCTGGTGTCAGGGCAGAACCAGCCAGGGTAGAGGAGAGAGCAGAAGCTTTTCTGGAGGGAGCCTTTCTTAGGAAGTTTTCTTGAACCTTTTTGGAGCCTGCTTAAAGTTTTCTTTACATCGTTGAACGAGTCTCTGTGTTGTCAATCCCCGACACCCTCCGCAGCACGTTCTCGGACACAGGCTGCGCAGCAGACGCGACACTCCTGGAATGACTATCATGAGGAAATAGCTCATAACCTAGCTTGAAATGGGAAGAAAGCAAGATGATATCCATTAAAAAAGAATCAAAGGGTAGGGATGGGCTGGATTGGTGAGATGATCAAGCAGGTAAAGGTGTTTGCTACACAAGACCACTCGATTTGATCTCTGGAACCAATTGTGGAAGGAAAGAACTGATTCCTGAAAGTTGTCTTCTCACATTCACACATATGCTATGGGACTTGTGCTCACACACATCACTCATGGATGCATACATACACACCCAACAACTACTACCACTAGTAGTAACATAGTGATAAAATCAGAGAGGAGGTCAAAGCAGAGAGACTGAATGGAGTTTGCTGAAGATTGGCTGAAGGGAGGACTTGTGGCTCTGACTTCTGAGAGTGGACAGTTAGCCATCATCCTCCATGTACGACCTCCTCAACTACACAGAGCTACAGCATCCAACAAGCTCATGCTCTTTTCCACAGTGGACAAGCTCAAGGTTGAAAAAAGCACAAACACAAAGACTCAGCTATCTTGGTCTTCTCATCTTGGGACAACTCTGAAGGGGTGGGTGTTCTACCCTGAGAGCCCCCCAAGGGACAGGCTGAGTTTGTGACTGGGTCTATATTGCACCTTCATCTTTAATTCTGGATTCTAGTTCTTTTCCTTTTCTTCTGCAGGTGTCCATCTCAAAGTTACTCCTTAAGAAACATGGTGTTTACTCTGTTTCAGAGCTCACTTCCCAGGAGACCCAATAGTGGAATGTTAGAGGAACAGACTTCCATTAGGAATGGTCCAGAGGTAGGAAAGTGAGATGCAGGATTTGGGGATGACCGCATAAATAGGAGTGTGAAAAATGAGTTAGGAGCAAAGGAAAAGCAGATGCAAAATGATCACTGGGGAGGCTAAGAGGCAAGAAAGAGCTGTACCAGGGTGATGGCAACAAATGAAGTGATGCTATGAGCCCATATAAGAATAAAAATGTAAAGTTCACATATTACTTTTAGAAACATAAAGTCAAAGATAAAAGTTCTTTGTCTAGTTTGTCAAGTTACTACATTTCCAAATAGTAAGAGTACTGGGAATACGTGTTGTTATGATAAATTGTATTTTAGAATTAAACTTGAATTGAGAAGACATCCAAGGGGAGACATCTTGTAGGCAGTTGTATATAAAAAAAAAACTGAAAAGGAGATAAGAGGTCAGATGGGAAGAGGTCACCTGGGAACTGTGTTAGATTGTGTTTCCCAGAGATGGGCCAAAAACGTCCGTGGTGATGCAACATTCCGAAAATATCTCTTACATTCCAACAGACTGGAAATTTTGCTGGACCACATCGCAAGATTTCATAATACATCTTGAGGTCACAGTAACATTTAAGACTGCTAACCTCAAACTGTTTAACCTGCCCTTAAGATAACAATATAACAATCCACCTTACTTGCCTTGGATTCCCCATGTAGACAACTTTTGCAACCTGAGCAAATGCATAGCTGTGATCTTAAGATATGTACTCTTCTGTGCCCCTGACCCAGATAATGTATGTGTATCATTTGCTGAAAGTAACAAATAGGAAGTTGAAAGCAACTTTCTAATTCTACCATAAAGGTAGAAAACACTCTTAAATCTACCATAAAGATTGAGAGAAACTGCCGGGCGTTGGTGGCTCACGCCTTTAATCCCAGCACTCTGGAGGCAGAGGCAGGCGGATCTCTGTGAGTTCGAGACCAGCCTGCACTACCAAGCGAGTTCCAGGACAGCCTCCAAAGCCACAGAGAAACCCTGTCTCGAAAAAAAACAAAAAACAAAAAAACAAAAAAAAAAAAGATTGAGAGAAACCATTTATGGGTATATGTTGATAAACAATGATGTTTGTTATCATGTTATTTGGGATCTTTGGAGCCAGTGACGATTTCTGTGAAGTACTTACTCCATTCCTATCCCACATGATGCTTTCTATGATGTTCAATAAATCCTTTTTTAGGAACAGACAGACACAGGGACAGGGAAAGGCTTCAGGCAGGCACAGATTCAGACTCATACAACAGACAGAGGATGGAAGATACAGAGACTGTGAAGTAGAGAATTCACATATGGACTCACTCTTGGTTAAACAATTCCTAAGGGAAGGGCTTTTATTTCTTTCCCTAATGTAGCACCAAAGTATTATTGGTATCTCAGAGGTAATCACTAATGCGTTATAATCTGCACCAATGGCTACCATCTCACATTCTCCTCTATAGTGTGAGTTGACTGTCGCCCATCAAGAAGTGGAGTTTCATTCCTATCCTGCTGGATCTCACAGGACTATGACTGCTTCCTCCAAGAAACTGCATACAAGAGACATTGTGTGATTTCTGAGTGTAGGCCAGAAAAGTGGAGCAACTTCTAGTGCCCTTGGAATGAATCCAGAAGCCAAGTAAGAAGTCTCCGTATCCTCAAATGACTGTGCTGACGAGGTTCTGTATATGAGACAACAGCTGGTATTGACAACCATGAGAGAACCATCTTCGACATTCTGCCCAGAGGAATAAGATAAAGAAAGCCCCAGCCAACAACTGTCCTCAATGACATGGAAGAACTCAGTGTGAAGTACCTGTCCTTCTCAAACTCCTCATCCTCAGACAGGGTAGCTAGTTATGTAGCACTGGCAAGGGGAAGAGACTCATCAGCAGGAAAAGAGTAGGATCTCATCACTGTGCCTGTACGGTAACTTCCTATCTTCCTACCTTGCTTTAACGCCCCCCCCCCCCATTTACCCTATCCTATTACCTCCTACTTCCCACTTAGTTGCCAGGGGTTGTTTGTTCTTCAGCAGTTCTCAGCTAGTGTGATTGCATCATTCCCTTCTTGAAAAATCTATGGTTCCAAGTGGTCTGCAGAGGGCCTCAAATTTCAGTATGTGTTATATCGCGGATGCTTAATTTTATGTGGCAACTTTGTTGGGCCACAGGCTATCTAGTCATTGGTCAAATGTTATTTGGGATCTATTTTTTTTAAGATGACACTAGTATTTGAACTTTTCCTTGAAAAAAGTTCAAGTATTAATTCAATTTTTTAAAGGTGACATTAAGATTTGAACTAATTACCAAGTAAAGCAGCCCAGTATATGTATGGATAGGGAGGGGTCAAATCAACAACAGATCTGAGTAGAATAGAAAGGCTAAAAAGAGGGTGTTCCTGCCTAAGTGCTTCAGATACACATAAGCTCTTCCCTGCCTTCAGACTCAAGACTAATCTTTGTTGGTCTTAAATCTGACAGCTTTCCACCCTACAATTTACACCGCCAGAAAGGCTGAGAAACAGTGAGGACTTTAAGAGAGACATGCATGGTCCCTCGAAGAAGGGGAAGGGGACAGGATCTCCTGAGCAGATTGGGAGCATGGAGGGGAGGGGAGAGGGAGCTGGGAGAAAGAGAGGGGGAGAAGAGGAGGGGAGAGGAAGAAATGGGGGAGCAGAAAGGTCGAGTCGTGGGAAGAATAGTGAGTAGCATGAGAGATACCATAATAGAGGGAGTCACTATAGGTTTGAGTAGAGATCTGGCAGTAGGGAGATTTCCAGAGATCTACAAGGATGACACCAACTGACAATCTAAGCAATAGTGGAGAGGCTACTTAATTGTCCTTCCCCTACAATGAGATTTATGACTACCCTTATATGCCATCCTAGAGCCTTTATCCAGTGGCTGATGGAAGTAGAAGCAGACACCCACAGCTAAACACTGAGCTGAACTCCTGGAAACCAGTTGCAGAGAGGGAGGAGTGATGAGCAAAGGGGTCAAGACCGGGCTGGTGAAACTCTCAGAAACAGCTGACCTGAACAAGGAGGAGCTCATGGACTCCAGACTGATGGCTGGGAGGCCAGCATGGGACTGATCCAGATCCCCTGAACGTGGATGTCAGTGAGGAGGCCTTGGCAACTGATGAGGGGCCTCTGGTAGTAGATCAGTATTTATGCCTGGTGTACAAATGGACTTTGGGAGCCCATTCCATGTGGAGGGATGCTCTCTCAGCCTAAGCCCTGCCCCAGATCCCTTTTGGGGATCCCCATGGAGTGCCTCACCCTCCCTGGGGAGTAGAGAGGGTGGAGTGGGGGTTTGGTGGGGGCAGGGGAGGAGGGAAGGGAGAGGGAGCTGGGATTGACATGTGAAGCAGGCTTGTTTCTAATTTAAATAAAAATAAATAGATAAATAAAAATTAAAATAAAAAATCTGACAGCTTTCAGTGTAACACATCCTTGGCTTCTTGTACCTCAAGCTTGCTTACTGTAGATCTTGGGACCTCTCAACTACCATAACTATGCCAACCAGGCTTTTTTGGTTTTGATGGAATTTGGCAATGTAGCCCAGGCTGAACTCTAACTCATGACCCTCCTGCCTCACCCCTCTATGTAAATGAAGTTAGAAACATGCTTTATCAAATTTTCCTGAACAAATTCTATATAATAAATAATACATATGTATTGTATAATAAATAGCACATAAATTATGTGTATGTCATATGAATGCCATAATAAACTATATACATGGTATTTTTTGAGAAGTTTTTTTTATTGAAGTAATATGAAGCAAATATTCCAAAAAGAAGAGTAGGCTTCTGCTGTAGGTGTCAATATTT